CACACACACACACACACACCTCCCTTCCTCCTAGCACTGATGATGTTACCTAGTTGGGTCATAAAAACTCCTGCAAGGAAACCGCCCAGCTCAGAGGGCACCAGCGGTTGTTCAATTTGTGGCCAACTGGCTCAAACTCTACGACGGTCGCAGGGCCAATTTCTGACCATCAAAATCAATGGGGTCAGCCGGATTCGTTTAACGGCTGGGTTACTAATTGAATGACAGCGGTGGTTCACTTAACAGCGGTGCCCGGAAGAGTCGTAAAATGGGTGCCCGGAAGAGGAGTAAAAACCCGTTTAACCCATTTCTCACTTCACACACCGTAGAAGTTGGTGCCACAAGCAAAACTTCATTTCGCCACGGAAATTTGGGGCTCCGTTTATGGTGGTGAATCAAGGGAAACTCCTCCACACACACACACACACCCAGTTTTTTGCTCAGGGTAAATGAAACCAGCCCGTTTAAAGGGTCTCCCAGGGACCATCTGGGCTTCAGGCGCTGAGCTGGGGTCCAAAGACACCCCCCCCCCAGAAGAGAGATGGGGAGACTGAGCTTCGGGGCAAGGCAGGAGTAGCCGCTGCGTGAATATCTGAGAAGGTGAAATGAAGGATCTTTTAAAAATAGGGATAGTTGGTAAAGGGAAGAGGAGGAGGAGGAGGAGGAGGAGGAAGAGGAGGAGGAAGAGGAGGAGGAAGAGGAGGAGGAGGAAGAGGAGGAGGAGGAGGAGGAGGAGGAGGAGGAGGAGGGGGTGGGGGTGGGTGTGGGTTGGGGGGGGGGTGTTCCTGCTCTCCCCCTCCCCTTTCTAAGTGTCGCCAGGAGCGGTCCTGTCCAGCCGAACGACACCCATTTGTGTCAGTGCCGGGGATTAACATTTCGGTTATTGCTCTGTCAGACCGGCCGTTTCAGGAATTGATTTCGCATTTAGCGGCTGCCACCGTGATCTATGCAAGAAAAATGCCAGCGTTATTAATCCTGGGGAAAAAAAAGGGGTGTGTGTGTGCGTGTGCAAAAAAAAAGGAAACACAAACCAACCAACCAAACCACCATAACAGAACCCCGAAAAAGCACCACCAAGGACGCCGCCGTTACACACGCACACGCACACACACACAAGTCGAAATGCAGAGAAGGGAGATGGGCGGAGAGACAGATCACGGGACCCTCGGTGCTGGCTGAGGGGAGCCAGAGGTGGGGGCTGCCTCCCCCCCCCCGAACCCAGCACTCAAGGACACAGCTGGGCCCATTGCAGATGTTACGGAAGGTGACCTGATCTTGTGAGGTTTAGGGAAGGTTTAGGGAGAGGGCAGCTACCAGCCTGGGCCCTGACTGTCTGCTTCTGGAAGGTTCTAGCGATCCAGCTTAACAACAGGATCCAGTTGGAAGGGGCCTCGGAGGTCTTCTAGCCCAACCCCCCCCCAACCCCCTCCACTCAAGGCAGGAGACCCTCTACCATTTCAAGTAGAATAGAATAACAAGAGTTGGAAGGGAACTTGGAGGTCATCTACTCCAACCCCCTGCTCAACCTCCCAGACCATTTCAGACAGACGGTTATCCAACATCTTCTTAAAAGCGTCCAGTGTTGGAGCATCTACAACGTCTGGTGGCAGGCTGTTCCCCTGGTTCATTGTCCTCCCTTTGAGGGAGTTTCTCCTTAATTCCAGGTTGCTTCTCTCCTGGATGAGTTCCCGTCCGTTGCTTCTTCTCCTGCCTCTTCTGGGGCTTTGGAGGACAGGCTGACAGAGCTACCTGAAGTCCCCAAGGTCCAATGAATAAATGGCCTGGGGAGGTTCCCCCCCCCCCCCCCCCAGCCTGACCCAACTCCACCGGAAGTCAGAGAGGAGGCCGGACGGAGTCCAAGTGGCGGACGGATGCATAAGAAGCTATTTGGGCTACCCAGAGTCACTGCAGTGAGATGGGCAGCCACGAATGAAGGAGTGAAGGACCTGGAACCCAGAACAAAAGAATGACCGAAGGACCGGGAACCTTAGATGAATGAATGACCAAGAACCCAGAAGAAAAGAAAGACCTGGAACCCAGGACGAAAGAATGACCTAGAATCCAGAACAACAAAAAAAAGACTGAATGATCTGGAACCCAAAACAAAAGAATGATTGAAGGACCTGGAACCTAGAACAAATGAATGAATGACCAAGAACCCAGAAGAAAAGAAAGATCTGGAACTTGGACAAATGAATGACCTGGAACCCAGAACAAAAAAACACGACTGAAGGACCTGGAACCCAGAACTAAAGAATGAGTGACCAAGAACCCAGAGGGAAAGAACAAACGAACGACCTGGAACCCAGGAGAACCCCCAAGGAGCCTGTTCTTACTTCGTCGAAGAGCTGAAGCATGATGGTCAGGACATCGGGGTGGGCCTTGTCCACCTCATCGAAGAGGACCACGGCGTTGGGGCACTGCTTCAGCTTCTTGGTGAGCTGGCCCCCTTCATCATGGCCAATGTAGCCTGGGGGAGAGCCAATGAACTTGGCCACCTGCAAGAGACACCCCAACCCTGGAGTTAGATCATCAAGCCTTCTGGGGTTCAAAGCAAGCTCTCCCCCCTCAACCCCTCTCCCCCGCCAAGAAAGAGGACCACAACCTGAGGAGGAGTTAGCCGTAGTTGGAATAGAAAGAATCCAACCACACCAGCTGTGATCCCAAATCATACACGTTTCTCCTGGGGAGGTGAGGCTGAGAAACGTGGTTTGTGTGGCTCAATCTGTACACAACCTTTTTGGGTATCTGGCAAGACTGGGGAGAGGGGCCAAGGAAGGAAAGCGCTACGGAGACAATGGAAAGACCTCCTTCACCCACAGCTTCATCCTCTACTCCCTCCTAGCACTGATGATCTTCCCTAGTTGGGCCCTGAAACGTCTGCAAGAAAGCCACCAAGCTCAGAGAGCACCAGGGACCCCGGTTGTCCTCCTCCTCCTCCTCCTCTTGATGTTCCCTAGTTGGGTCATGAAAGGCCTACAAGAAAACCACCAAACTCAGAGAGCACCAAGGACCCACAGTTGTCATTCTCCTCCTCCTCCTCCTCCTCCTCCTCTTTCTCCTCCTCCTCCTCCCTCCTTTCTCCTCCTCCTCCCCCTTCCTCTTTCTCCTCCTCCTCCTCTTCCTCCTCACCTCGTGTCTCTCCTGAAATTCCGACATGTCCAAGCGGATGAAGCCCTGCAGAGAGGTAAGAAGCAAAGGGGAATTAGAGATGCGGTCGGACGTTTCTCAAGACCTTTTAAGAGAGGGAGCGGCCGCTACACAATGTTTGGGGTAACATTTTGCCGGCCTCTTTGAGGGACCCATGACTCACGCCCTCCTGCTTACACCGGACACGGGGACTGGTCTAAAGAACGGCCACCGATTCGATGCCTTCCCCTGAAATGTTAAGCCAGATCCACCGAAAACGAAGGGAATCCTATTTTGATGGACTTCACAGCTGTTGCAAAATTGGGCACGACTTCCCCTTAGCAACTGCCTGGCTTAACAACAGGAATCCGGGTCCCAGTTGCGCTTGTGACCTGTGTGTATATCCCACTTTTGATGTATACAAAATTAAAGCAGGATTATTAAACCAGGGATCCCCAAACTTGGCCACTTTAAGACTTGTGGACTTCAACTCCCAGAATTCTCCAGCCAGCATAGCTGGGAGTTGAAGTCCACAAGTCTTAAAGTGGCCAAGTTTGGAGACCTCTCTATTCAACAATAAAACCTACACTAAGGTGGAAGATGGAATTTTAGCCCTGAAAATGGAAATTTAGTGCAGTCATCACAACTTCAAAACTGGGGTTTTGGGGCTGGAGCGGTCTATTGTAACTTTGTCGTTAAGCAAGTGGCTGTAAGATAAGGACTATTTATATGGCTGCCCGGAACAGTCTCTGGCCGCTTTGAAGATCGGTGGACTTCAACTCCCAGGATTCCTCAGCCAGCCAAAGGGATTCTGGGAGTTGAAGTCCGCAAGTCTTAAAGTGGCCAAGTTTGGAGACCTCTGTATTCAACAATAAAACCTACAGTAAGGTGGAAGATGGAATTTTTAGCGCTGAAAATGGAAAATTAGTTGTGTGTCTTGGGAATCCCTGTGATTCAGTTTGCTTTCTTCCTTTTTTGGGGGAGGGAGTGATTAAAAAAAAGGAAATTCGAAACTAATTTGTGGAACGGAACAGCAGAGTATTAAAACTATTGAAATGTTTGCAAATATACCAAGGGCTATATGGCATCTCTCCTCCACAAAGAAAGAATTTAAATTACGAGCAGAATGAAACGCCAGCTCAATTAAACCCGCCGACGTCTGTGGAAGTGAAATAAGGCTTCTGGGGGATGCGTAGGTTCTATTCCTCGCGGGAAAAGCACCCGTTTGCTCGCAGAGAGGAGAGGCTTCACCGAAGGAAAAGCGAAGCTCCTTTGCTCTCGAAGGACGCCTGGATTTTGCAGCCTGGCAATAGCTGAAAACACCTGGTTCTCAGGTAATTCAGGTCCTCCAATGGACAAGGCCTACCTATCTTCTCCCACCTGCAGGAACATGACTGACAGGGACACCTGGAACCCAGAAAGGATGACAAACCTGACCGAGGGACGTCAGGAACAGCTGGAATAGCCATGCAGGGAGGCCGCTTATGGGTGTAGGTAGGGGAGGTGCAATCATCACAACTTCAAAACTGGGTTTGGGGGCTGGAGGGGTCTATTGTAACGTTGTCGTTAAGCAAGTGGCTGTGAGATAAGGACTATTTATATGGCTGCCCTGAACGGTCTCTGGCAGCTGCACCCAATCTTGGCCGCTTTGAAGATCGGTGGACTTCAACTCTCAGGATTCCTCAGCCAGCCAAAGGGATTCTGGGAGTTGAAGTCCGCAAGTCCTAAAAGAGGCCAAGGTTGGAGACTCCGATGCTACCCGCGATCAGCCTGACCCGTCTTCTCCTGGGCCTGCACACCACGCCCACCTGGGCTGTTGTTCCAACAATGGGATCTTACCTTTTTGACGTCTTTGTGCAGGTACTTGGCGGTCTGCTTGGCCAGCTCAGTTTTACCTGTTCAGGAGGCAAGAGCAGGAGGTGTGAAGAGGAGGAAGGCTCCCAGGTACACTACAAAATACAGGTGGCCCTCGGCTCACGACCACGATTGGGTTATGTGTCCCTAACTGTTGAGGGCATAGCACACCTGTGGCAACCACAGCACCATAGCCTGCTGCTGGTGAAAGTCTACCACGTTTAGATAGTGGTTGCCACGATATATTAAAAAAAAAAACCAACGTTGAGGTTTTGGAAAGAGTGTGGAGAAGAGCAAGGAAGAGGATTAAAGGCCCGGAGACTAAAACATATGGAAAACGATTGCAGGAATTGGATTATGACCTGTCTAGAGAAAAGAAGAACTAGGGGTGACATGATAGCAGCATCCCAGTATTTGAGGGGTGTCAGAGTATATTCATGAACTGGAGTAGAACTTGGCAACTACATCAGCCAATGAAGACTGTTTGGAAACTGAAACTAGAAGCAGCCAAGGTGTGGCTCTATGTTAAGCTCTGCAGCTACGTTAAGCTCTGAGTCTGTCTACTGAAGAGGGAACTAGCTTGCTTGCTTGCTGAAGACTGGGGCTCTGCTCTGAACTTGCCACATGTTGAGTTTGCTCCACGTTGGAGAAATCTACAACTGGTTTGTAAAATCTACTTATGTTTATAAAGATGTGAAATGGAAGCATCAGCCATCTGGGTTTATTTTTCTGGCTCTGAATTAATGCTTCAAAAGTCTTAACAAGGGGCTGCCCCAAAGAAGAGGGGGTCAAGCTATTTTCCCAAAGCCCCTGAAAGGCAGGAGAGGAAACAACGGATGGAAACTAAACAAGGAGTGGAAGCAACTTGGAATTAAGGAGGAATTTCCTGACAGTTAGAACGATTAACCAGCGGAACAACTTGCCACCAGAAGCTGTGGGCGCTGCAACACTGGAAGAGATTGGACAGCCATTTGTCCAGAATGGTATAGGGTCTCCTGCCTGAGCAGGGGGTTGGACTAGATGACCTCCAAGTCCCTTCCAATTCTTTTATCCTGTTGCTATTTTTAGAGTTTTCATCGCTAAGCAAGGCAGTTGTACCTCATTTTATGACCTTTTCCCCCGCCCCCAGGGTTGTTAAACCAACCGCTGCCGATTAAGAGAATCGCAGGATTTCTCCCACTGACTTTTGCTTGTTGGAAACTAGCCGAGAAGGTCGCAAACGGATCAGGCCAGGAATGCTGGTTTAAGAAGCAGCTTTCCGTACTGCGAGGGCCTTGAGACAAGGAGCAGTGAATGCCAGGAAGCCCAATATTCTTTGAGAACTGGATTTATATGCAACCCTGGTCATAAAAGTCTAGGCACGAGACGATTAATAATTCAAAATGTATACTGCAAAACAAATCTATTTTGATATGTACCAACAGGCAGGGCGGCTCACGAGAGTTGGAGCGCTGTTCCTGGCCAGGTGTTATCTCTGCAAATAGCTGATATTCTGGCAGTTGTCCCAAAGGTGAAAGCACCTTTGAGATTTATTTACTATTTGTGGATTATGAGGTGTGTTTTTTTCCTTTCTACTGTAGTTATTTGACCCTGAGCAGCCTATAAACAACGACGTGCAAATAGGTAATATTAGAACAATTCAGAAAAAAAAACCCCCAGAAATTAACAATCTATCAAAAAAATGTATGATGAGACCTCCAGAGGGAAACATCAGGGAATTTCTTTTTCTATTTTTTAAATTTTTCTTTTATTATTTGTATAGCTTCCCAATTCAACCAAGGAACTCTGGAAGGCTTCCAATCCTAAAACTATAAAAATTAAAAACCATAAAATGATGAATTCTTGAGATTTTTGTTGTTGTTGCTGCTATTGGGTTTTTTCCAGCACCCTCAGTGTCCCAGGGGTCATACGATCCTTTTTGTGACATTCTGACAAGTCAAGTCAGATTCATTTAACAACTATGGCGAGAGGTCGTAAAACGGGACGCAACTCACTTAACAACTGCCTTTGCTTAGCGATGGAAATTTTGGGCTCGGCTGTGGCTGTAAGTCCAGGACTGCATGGATTCTGTAGGTAGGGCTTCCTGAGGGAGGCTAATATATCTGTTTTATCCTGTTTTATCCTGCTCCAACTGGATTAATTTGGATTTCTTGGCTCCTCAGGAGGATCCACTTTCTGCAATCTGGATTCATGGAATTAGAAACCGAGAGGTGTGTGTGTGTGTGTGATCGAGGCCAGTGACTCTCAACCTTGGCAGGGGGCTGAGGAATTCTGGAAGTCCCCAAGTCTTAAGAGGGGCCAAGGTTGGACACCTCTGCCTTAAACCAACATTGGTTTAATCCCTCTCACCCCGAGGGATTTTTTTTTTCACCGTCCCGTCGACAACCATCTCCAGGTTAAACTCAGGTAGCCTCCGGGAGAGACGAGGCCCCACCCACCCTTGAGTGGCAGTGCAGATGTGGAGCCCACCAAAGATTTGGTCTGTTGTCACTGGGGTTGGGTGGGTGGAGGGTTTTTTACTTCCGTGAGCCTTGTGGGGTTACCAGGAGTGGGTGGGTGGCCTTATCAATTCTTCTCACCAATAATAACATGTAAAAATGTATGGCAGAAGGGTGTTTGAGGTCAATAAAGGAAAACCTTTGTAGCTAAGAAACGAGGGGGCCCTTGGTGCTCTCTGGGCTGGGCTGTTTTCTCGCAGACGTTTCAGGACCCATCTAGGTAACATTATCAGTGCCACAGGGGAATGGGGTCTGGGGACAGGAGGAGGAGGGGGACGAAGAGGACGACGACTGTGGGGTCCTTTGTGCTCTCTGAGGTTGGTTGTTTTCTCGCAGGCATCTCATCATCCAACTAGGTAACATTATCAGTGCTGGAACGGAGTTTGCAGAGAGGACGAGGACGACGGGGTTCTCGGTGTCCTCTGAGCCTGATGATCTTCTGGCAGACCTTTCATGACCCAACCAGGTAACATCATCAGTGCTACAAGGGTATGGGAATTATGGATAGGAGGTGGGGGGAGAAGACTTGACTTTGGGGCCCTCTGAGCGGGCTTGTTTTCTCGCCGACGTTTCATGACCCAAACCACCTTCACCTCACGAAGCGTCACGTAACGTGGGTTATTCTGAGGCGCCTGCAAGGACCCAACCCAGCTCAGGGCTGTGTTGAGATCTCGGGGGCTTCCTTTCCCCCCCCCGTTTTTCCTCGTCGATCCCCCTGGAAGCACCGTACAGCAAAGGCCCCGGAGCGTCTCCTCCTCAGCCGGTCTCCTTTCTCGGATGGGGGGGGTGAGGAAGAGGAAGGAAAAGCAGCGTTACCTATTCCCGAAGATCCCAGGAAGAGGAAGACCAGCGGGTGCTCTTCGTCGTACCACCCGTTTTCCTTTCTCCGGATGGCTGCCCGTGGAAAAAGAGGGAGAAAGGGAAAAAAAAGGCAAAGAAAAGAGGGGTGAGAGTGTTGTTATATATCTGGGCGCATACTGGTTTAAAAGAAAAGAAAAAAAAAAGAAAAAAAAAGGGGGGGGAATGGCGTATAAATCAATGACACAACAGCCAGGATAATTATCACTAAGTATACACAATGTTTTACTGCTCTCTGCCCACTCGGAGTGCCGGCTGCCATTACGGGCTGCCTAATTTGATTAGCCGCCAAGGGCCCCAGAGGTACCTAATCAGGTTAGCATGGATTTGGAAAGCTGCCCAGAGCAGATTTCGGATAAAGTTTTCCAGGATGTGCACTTAGGGTTGCCAGGGAAACCGGAGAGGAGGATGGAGACTGAATGAACCAGAAAGGGACCTGGGGTGGGGTGGGGGGGGGGGGGGAGACAGGGGGGGGGGGGGGGGGCTCTCCAGTCAGCCTGCAAAAAAGGGGGGCTGGCAAGGAGAGGCTGACGGCTCCTTGGATGGCTGACGGGAAGGCGAGCGGAGCGGTGATCAAGGGCGCAGGACAGACCAGCGCGGGGTGGGGGTCGTGGTGGGGGTGGGGGTGGTAAGGGTGAGTGAGGAGGAGGAGGAGGAGGAGGAGGAGGTGCCAAGCCCACCACGGAGGAAGAAGGCCCTCCTCAGACGGGCGAGGAGGACGGAAGGCTGAAATGCCAAGAGCAGAGGAGAGGAGAAGAGGAGAAGAGGAGGAGGGCAAAGGAGAGAAAGGAAAGGAAGAAAAGGGAAAGGAAGACAAGAGAGAAAAGGAGAGAAAGGAAGGACGAAG